CTGGGAGTTGAAGTCCACTCATCTTAAAGTGGCCAAGTTTGGACAACACTGCCTTAACAGAAATGGGCAAATACTTCAAGACCAGTTTCCCTCAGTTTGCCCTTTTCATACATTTGTCAGCTCTGGTTTACCATTTTTTTTTTAAAAAAAAAACCAAGACACACTAAGATTTCTGTGTATTTCAGGGCCTCTTTCTCCAAGCATACATACTGTACATAAATATATATAAATATTGGAATCTGGCCTAAATTGTGCAGATTAACTTCCGTAATGCGTTTGGGGATTTTCATGCATATACAGGTAGCGACTACTCGTTCAGCGACCGTTCAAAGTTGTGACGGCGCCAAACGAGGGGGACTGATGACCGTTCCTCAAAGTTCCGGCCATCGCAGTGCCCCCACAGTCATGTGATCACAATTTGGCAACAGGCTTGCACGTACAATGTCAGAGGGAGCTGCAGTGATGTGATCACCTTTTGCAACCCTCCCTACCGGCTTCGCACAAGCAAAGTCCATGGGGAAGCTGGCAGGGAAGGTCGCAGGTCACTTTGGTAAGTCCCCCCGGCCTTCTTGCACTTGCATGCAGCCTGCGCTGGACCTTCCAAGCCCTCCCCCAGCCTCCCTTGACTCGTGCAGGGCCTGCGCCGGCCCTCCCAGGGACTCCCCACAATCCTTGCCTGGGACTCCCGCCACTTCCCACTTAACGACCTGTGCAGTCCTGGGGTTACGACGGCAACGGGGACTGCTGGGATTGCCGTCGCTAAGCGATGCAGTCACGTGACGTTGCACTTTATGGCCGCATTGCTTAGCGACCACAATCCCGGTCCCTGTTGCCGTTGTAACCTGAGGACTACCTGTATGGATTTTGTACCGACTTTTCTTCAACGTGGCCTAGATGGGATCCTGCTGTGCCATTTCAAGAGGAAGCCCCCTCCTCAATGGCATGTTTGTATCTTCCTCAGGTTTACGACATTCATACCGAATCAGGGCCACTCTTTAAAGCAGTGTTTCTCAACCTTGGCAACTTTAAGATGTGTGGACTTCAACTCCCAGAATTCTGGGAGTTCCCCATGCTGGCTGGGGAATTCTGGGAATTAGAATCAGGATTACCTTAATACAGTGTTGTCCAAACTTGGCCACTTTATGATGAGTGGGAATTAATTTCCCACCATCCCCCCCACACCGTAGGCCGTCCGGGGGAGGTGTGAGGGGGGG